CCCCTCCAAATTCAACCCATAGCTCCACCCTTCTCGCCGTGCAAGAAGAACTCCTTCACCTCCGAAAAAGTGAAGAGCTCTTTCGAGAATGTGGAGATTGGGTCGTGCCCCCTTTCGATTTTCCACATTTGTCAATACACATTCCTCGCAAATTATTTGTGTTTATCATTGTAGTACTCGGGGCCTCAAGTGAAACTGGCATTTTATTCCACGGAGAGTAATTGACGTCGCAGCCGGGTTTAGTGGTCGGATGTAGAACAATAGTAAAAGGTATATGCCACTAATTTGGTTACAAGTGGACACGGCAATGCGGCAGACACATCACACACTAGAGTTCACTTGTCTGTTAATCACGTTTTTCGCTACGCTGTGCAAACATTTTAATTGATGAATGACTTTCTCACAAATATGGGTTTGTTCTACTTCTTGGTTTGCATATGGTTATCAAGTATTGCTAAAAAAAAGTCTACCTCAAATTTGCTATTGCGTTCGCTATGACACTGTCTTGGAGAACTTTGATTTACTTGTCCGAGATTCAAGTAATAATTCCGGCCTATATTTCACAATCGCAGTGGTAGAATTCTTGTATTCAGTGAAGATGTGATTAATCCTTGGCTGTGCGACGGGTTGCGTACAGTTCAGGGGCGCTTTAGTCGTCACATATGAATAAATCATCAATAATGCCCCCACATGTCTGATTTAATTCAAACCACTTTAAAGACTTCCATTACTAATAATAACAAAGTGCGAACATTTAAGATGAATCGCTCGAGTATTTTTTGCATCTATGTGCGACACACATATGCACAATCTCTTTTTTTAGCTATATGCAAGTAATATGTTATTCTTATTTGTTTAGTGAGAGTACTGCTGAGAAGACTAAACGTATTGCTGCGTGACCAAAGATGTCAAAAGAAGAATATTCATGAAGAAACAGTTCCAAACATGTTCACGATCTTTGTTATTATATTACTTTTGTTAATTATTTTAAAATATACAATTTTTGTTACTACTTTATTTACTTACAAACTCCCTCCTTTCCCGAAATGTGTTCAATATTTGAGTTGCTCGTCTTATATTAATCAGATTCTTTCTCATGCTTGAAATTATATGAACGTTTGTGGTAGTTACTGCTTCTTTGGGGGAGGGCATACATTTTTACATACTTTGGGGGAGGGCATACATAATTAAGTTCCAAAAAGGATTTACATGACCTTCACGAACCAAAATTGCTACTGTTTTATTCGTTTATTGAGCCTTTTATACAGTTAGTTCTACCACTTTACACACCTCAAATGCTCATATTTTTGGAACGAAGTGTTTTACAACTTCCGCGCATGTCATGCAAAACAACATAAGCAATTTTATTGTTTACTCTGAAGGCATTTATGAAGGATCTTCCGACTTTGATCTCTCCAGTAAATTTGCACATGTCAGGTCCAACTCCTTCAAGTAACACTGTACGTACGAGCAAATAACGTAATATGCAATTTTCACTTAAGCTCTCAAATATTCGAATATAAAGAAGCAATTTATTCGACCTCTTGTGCGTTCTTCATAGTGTTAACGCTACTGATTTATTATTTAATTTAATTAATTTTGTTACAAAACCATTTCAAATAATGAGATCCACATTCTTCGTTATTTTGAAAATTTTCTAGTACAGGTGATAAAAAATAGAACTTTATAAAAGTACTCAAACGCTTTCTCAATTTTCCTTGAATGTTTCCTAGGTAAATAAATGATCTATCCTGAAGTACGAGTTTGTCATACATTGGTAAAGTTCAACTAATTCAAATGTCATAACTAGGTAGGCATTTTTCATTTGTCAGTTATGAATGACCTCTATGATCCCAAAAATAATTATTAGTTTATTGAAAATTCTTACGCAATATTCAAGAGAGGAATGACTACAATATGCCAAAAATATATAATAAAAGAAACTTTGGGACTAAAACATGAGTAAGAAAACCAGAAGTGCAATAGCTATTACCGGAGTCCCAATCTGGTTTTAACACTAGACCAGTCATTTACATTCCAGTTATCCTGAAATTAACCTTGATCACAGTTCAGTTATATGTCGCATCCTATGCCAACGTGCGTTGGACACAGTTCTGTTAGAGTGAATAGACCAAATTTTTATTTGTAAAAATATTAATAAATTGTAGTGATACAAATGACCTATTATCTATTGTATCTTTAATCCTAAACACACACTTCCAGTTCAGGAAAAAAAAAGATTGTTTATTAGCAGTTCTTAATGAAAAATATTTATTATTTTGTGTTTTCATTTATGTATTTATTGGCGACGCAAAAACAGAGGTCATTGGCGACCTTGTAGTTACAACACTGCTACAAAGGATTTACGCACGCACACACACACACACACACACACGCACGCACACACACACACACACACACACTCACACACGCGCGCGCGCGCGTACATACACAGATATCCACAAATATTTATCAAAATTTAGCTTGATGAGATATTATCTATTGTTAACTTCTGGTGAAGAAGCACTCTTGGCGGTCCTATGGTAGAGAATCTGCACTTCCACTCAGTGTGGAGGGAAAATTCCACCAGCACTTCTTCTGCGCCTGCGTGCTGCCGCTGCGATCGTCCGTGCGTGCCCTTGCCGCTGACCTTGATATCGGTCGCCGCGCAAGAAACTCCGGAAATCCCGCGGCCGCGCAACCGGTTCTGGGATCGAATCCAAACAACCACCTTGGCGACCCGCGTGCCGGGCGGCCTTGCACCCGAATAATTACTCGGTAGTAAACTCGAGAACGCTCCACGGCAAGTTCACATCAAGGACATCGCATGCGTCTTCTAGAGGCAATGGAGATCCACTTAACCGGGTGCGCCAGCGTATGTAGTTTCAGAGATGTTGAGAGAATGATTAAGAAAGGGATGATTGTTGTACCGTCACATTTTATAATGTGATTGTAAGACGTCACAACCACATTGTTGTATCACCCGTCTCTTGGGTGGGACTCAAGCCCCCCCCAACTTGCAGTTCCTTGGATGCAGCTCAACCCTGCACCACCGAGACAATAATGTTCCATCTAGTTTCGTTAGCGTATCGGGGCTAAATTAATGAAAAGTCGATTGAGGTTCTCTGACCCACGATATACCTGACACCAATATACCGTCTGAAGGACGTAGGGTAGGAGGTAGGATGCGAGCTCGAGTTGACATAATAGAGGTAAACCTGGCGGCGAACCTCGACTTCAGTCCTCTACTCAAGCCAATAGGTCAAACTGTCCGCGAGTACGCCCCCCTCCCCACCCTGTCCGCCCGGCCCGACCACTACACGTTCGATAGCGCTGTCGCCACACCCGCCAATTTGATCAGCTCGACAATTCGCATTAGCAAAATCGATGGAGTGTATTATTCTCGACGAATCTCAGATAAATATTAGTATATTTTTATTAGTAAAGATTAGAATCGCGCAACCTGCTTGTGTCGTTACGAAGCTAACCTTCAGGCATCCTCCCCCTTCCTGTACAATCGGGCAAGTGAAATGTCATTAGAATTCTCTCGATCTACTGAGAATTGGAAATTGGCCCTTTCTGCGGATTCTTGCAGAACATTTAAGGCATTTCTCAAAATAGCTTGTTTTTAAAGCACTTAAGATAGATAATTAATTTCATACGTCTCCCTAAAGATGAACGATATATAATAATGTCCAACTCCAATAATCGAATAACACTATTTGTTCTTGAATCTTTCTCGAATATTTAAGGACTAATATTTTAAAATACTTTTTTAAAAATGTTAACGCGCTTCCAGTGGTTAAATTGTACGTTCTATTCTTGTATCTATCATAATAAGGATCATTAGTTGATTGATCAGACTGACGATAAATAATTAATTAAAACCTATTTTTTAATAAGATTTTATTTTGTTTTCAATTCTATAAATACTTCACATTCAAACCTTCTAACACCATATTGCTAGTTAACGATCGATGTAAGAGCGATCCTTAGAGACGTGAGTGGATGTGTATTACATTGAAAATGTTTTATGTGGAAGATCTTCCCTTTATTTTTCTACATTCTCACAGAATGTTATTAATAAATTAAACCATCTGAACATGGTTTTAGTGTCATGATTAAGTTTCTCTTTCATAGTAATTTCACATTGTTGATAAAATATCCCTCAATGTCTAATTGGACTAAATTTATAAATGCAAGTATTATCAAGAAATTATATAAATTTATTCAAGACCATCGATTCATTTATCGTGAGGAATGTTTACAACGCACAAGTTCGTGTTTTGTCATCTCTATTTGCACATCAAGGAAATGAAAATAAGGAAAGGAGTTTCTTCTGGAAACTCCCGAAAAAAGAAGTGTAATTCTCGTGTAATTAACAGTTGTGAAAAGCAAGCAGTGATGCAAAGTCGTAGAACATGTGTGACATAATTTCATATTGAACCGCTATTGGTTGCTAGACCTTAAATGAAGTTTCGCAGGCAGGTAGGCCTAGGTTGAAGTCGATGGCGAATTTTCGACACCAGGAAATGGTTTCGTCGAATAATTAACGCTTGCAATGGGCTACGGAGTGACGAAGATCCGGCCTTCCGCTTCCTGTTGGGCGACGCGTGATGTTACAATCAGATCGCTCGTCTCCCACCGCTGACGTCGGGGATCACATCCCGTCATTGTGGGAGAAAAAGAAGGTTCGCGGGAGTTTTCTCTTATAATGTCATATAAAAAAATATTCTCTGCCTTTCATTCCACTCATCGGTCCATCATCATTCACATTTTACGTTCTATTAAATCATTGTGGTTTATATTTTTCCACAAGTCTTAGATACTAGTATAACTGTAAATAAGAGCCAGGCGCTCAATATTTGGTTCTGATAAATCCCCGATTTCACGTATGCATTTGCAAGCGTGGGAGCGGTTCAATCTTTATATTGGTTTCCTACACATACGACCAACTTTGTGCTATGGGCAGGCTTACAAGGACACCCCATGTTTCATTGCTTTATTTTTAATTTCAATGTTTCATTTATTTAAAGATTTAATATCTATTATTTTATTGTTGCTTGTTGTGTTTTTCTTTATTTATTCCAAGAATCTCTGCCCTGGCACTTTTTACCTCCTCATCAATAATGTTCTCCAAGGTATCAGCCTGATGCTCAGAGGCCGGGATCGGGGTGATCCCCCACACCACATGTCCCATCTGCGGTGATCTCGAAAGACCCCGGCAGAGAGACGTGACGTAATACGTAAGCGCTGACCTAATGTTGGGCGCCAGAGAAGTCTTGCATGTGCCAAGATGCGCGCGTGCTCGCCAGTGTTTGCTGGATTCATTGCGCGATCGCATCGTCCACACTCGCTCACGACCGCGCGTCAGAATGGGCAAACGGCGGCCTTGGGTTCTGTGTACACTCGCGAGAGGCAGCGAACACGGATTTATGCCTACTTTCCTTCTGGCCAGTGCAAGCGCGATGATTCCCTATTCTTCGAACACACGAAAGGCCTCTCTTTCAAGTGACAGAAGTACGAAGTACTGGGAAAACCCTTCAACTGCAAATACATTTTCAATCTGGGTATGAAAGAATACGTGCTTCTTGTCAGAGCATTATTAAACCTCTTCAATTTTATTTTAACAGAAGTTAAAGAATGTGTATTTTCGTTTCTGAAAAATTACAAATTTTGAAAACATTTCAAGAACAATTTACATAAACGCAGAAACTTAAATAAATTATGAAACATTTAGAAAGTTAAACGAAGAAATCAAAATCGTATAATTGTTGTAAATTATGAACAAACAACTATGTTTTCAATCAAAAGAATTTCTTAATCGCAGAAAATCGGTAATCACGTTTTTTAATGTTTCATTTACACTGAAAATTGTGCTATTCAGCTTTATTCCACCTGATGAAAAAATCATGGCGCCAATTTTGTACAATTTGCTAAACATGCCACATCTTCAGCCTTCGTGGACCATGACACAC